CCCTGGTTTTGGTCCTGCTCTGGCAGGGGGGTTGGACTCGATGGTCCTCGGAGGTCCCTTCCAACCCCTGCCATTCTGTGGTTCTGTGGTTCTGTGACTGTAACTGTTCAGGAGCAAAGTAACAGGAGTCTCCCCGTCCCCTGCCTTTTACAGCCTTTATTTGGGTGAGCTGAGCTGCCAGACGCCGCCGTCCTGCTGGGACACCAAAGGTCAGCACTGGGCTTCCGGGAGGCAGATAACCCAGTGAATCATCCACGAGGCAGAGCAGTGAGCAGAACCAAAGGCAAGGCAGGGCCCAGCTCAGCCATGTGCACAGGGCAGGACTGGGTGTTTGGGCATCTGCTGGTGTCTCCAGGAAGACACTCAGGAATGCTGATTCCTTTATCCCAGGAGAAAAAGAAGATGATGGGAGGGAGAGGAGAGGAGAGGAGAGGAGAGGAGAGGACAGGACAGGACAGGACAGGACAGGACAGGACAGGACAGGACAGGACAGGGGCAAGGGGTGTGTGATGTATTAAATGGGAATTCTTACACTGATGGAATTATACTGGCTTGAACATACTTGTGTTCATGCATTGTGGTTTTTTTGGGGAAATTAGGCCAGTTTATAGCAGGTAATCATTTTACTGATTTAAGCCTCACCTCCATGAGAATACTGTTTGCTGGGATAGCTCAATATAAACGTGTGTGTGTTTATTTTTAGAGACTGAGCATCCTCTTCCCTGTCCTCAGAAGAGAGAGAGGAGAAGAGAGAGAGGAGAAGAGAGAGAGGAGAAGAGAGGAGGAGGAGAGGATGAGATTATATGGGCCCGTGCTTCTGACTTTGGGTGCTCAGTTTTCCCTTTGCCTCCAAGATCATCAGATAATACGAACAATGCACACTCAGGACAGCCAGCTGGGGTGCTGCAGAGCCTTGCATGCCCTTATGCTGGCAGTCCCAGCGCTCATGGTCAGAGCCAGCATCACACAAAGCACCCTGTCACCAAGTGCTTGCAGCCATGCATCAGCAGCCCAGCACTTGGGGAGCTCTTCCATGGCCAGGGTGGCTCTCCAGGGCCCCACATGACAGCTGGAGGGATGGAGACCAGATCTTTAACAGGCATAGCAGTGTCAGGAGATGGAAACATCTTGTGGTGACTCTGCATGTTGAGGACAGTCCCGTGGAAGGCCAGCCCATGGTTCTTCAGTGCTGCAGAGGTTAAGGTGCTCATCATGGCTGAGCATCCTTAGGCTGCCAGTCCTGCTGGCAGAAGCTCAGGGCACAGCAGTGCAGGCAGCTCTGCAGCCCCAATGGACTCCTGTTTGGCTCCAAAATGCAGCCAAGCTCCTACACCCACAGGAGCAGGAGCAAGGCAGTAATCCCCAAGGCAAGGGTGAGGATGATGAAGGTGATGGCTGCAGCCCACAGGGAAGGAACATGCCCCTTGAGCTGCACCGGAGCCTCTGCTGGGATCATGTTGGTGAGGTTCAGCATGTAGCCCAGTGTCCAACCCACATCAGCACTTCCCACCTGTCAGAGGAGAGAGGGGAGGATGTTATCCCTGCAGGGGCTGGAAGGTGCCCCGGCAGAAAAGGACCTGTTGGTCATCAGGGGCTGCATATGAGCCAGTGTGTGGCCAAAAAGGCCACCAGTATCCTGTGGCTGGTGTCAGCACTGGTGTGGCCAGCAGGAGCAGGGCAGAGATCTGGTGAGGCAGGGCTGGGCACTGGGGAGGGGGCACCTCGAATCCTGGGGTCAGTTCGGGGCCCCTCATGGCAAGAAGAACGTGGAGGGGCTGGAGCATATCCAGAGAAGGGCAATGGATCTGGGGAAGGGGCTGGAGCACAAGGCTGATGAGGAGAAGCTGAGGGAGCTGGGGGTGTCCAGCCTGGAGACCAGGAGGTGAGGGGAGACCTGCTGGCTCTGCAGCTGCTGAGAGGAGGTTGGAGCCAGGGGGGTCAGGCTCTGATCTCCAGGAACAAGTGATAGAGCAAGAGGAAATGGCCTCAAGTTGCACCAGGGAAGGTTTAGATTGGGTATTGGAAGAAACTTCCTGCACCAAAAGGGTTGTCAGGCCCTGGCCTAGGCTGCCCTGGCAGGGGTGGAGTCCTTGTCCCTGGAGAGATTTCAAAGCTGAGTAGATGTGATGCTAAGGGACATGGTTTAGAGGTGGCCTTGGCAGTGCTGGGTGAACAGTTGGACTTAATGGTCTTAAAGGTTTTTTCCAACCCAAACAATTCAGTGGTACCATCATTCTATGAAAGCCACACTGATGGTGCAGGGCCACCTGCCCCTGCGTGTCCCCAGTGGGCTGCAGTAGCTGGTCCCACACTCAGTTCCGTGCTGGCCCTCACAGCACCTGGTGCAGGCAGCTCTTCTCTCCAGAGCTGCCCCTGCTCCTGCTCGCAGGCTGGGTTTGCTGCCTACCTTCCTCCGGAAGAAGATCTTGTTCCAGCTGGTCTGGTTGAACTTGTAGGCATCAAGAAGGAGTGTGAGGATGTAGTTGGCGTTGGCGCAGTATTTGGGCAGTCGCTCAGGGTGCTCTTCAGGGTAGCTAGAAGACAGCTGGGGTGGGGACATGTTTGGGAGAAAAGGAAGATACTTGCAGGCAATTCCCATGCAGGGACAATGCCCTGACAACAGCTGCACGAGGGGAGATGACTCTGAGGCCACCAGCATCCAGAAAAGGCTTCTGGACCAGGCAGGAAGTTTGGACCTGTCCACAGGGCAACTCCTTTGTGGAGGATTTACTCTCCACATGGAAACAGAGACATAATGGAACCTCTCCTGCCCCAGATTCTTCCGTCTCAGCCTCCTCATGCAAGGGGCTCCTGCCCTCTGCTCTGTCGTGGTCCTAGCAGAACTCTTAGTCTCATTCATCCCCATTTGACTCCTCTCCAGGGTGGTGCCAGGAGCTCCATCCCCCAGACCCACCTCCATCCCCAGCTCCTGTGTGGGAGGGGAGATTTTGCTGCCTTCACCTGCCCTGGCTGCCCTTTTCCCAATGTTTCATGATCAAGGAGGATCCCAAGGTGGGTGCAGGATGGTCCTGGCTCCCTCAGAGCTCAGGGATGGCTCCACAGCTCAGCAAGCAGGAAGCCTTGCCCTGGGGAGTCTGTTCCCCACCCCAGGACCCCTTTGCTTGTGAGGTTTCCCCACAGTCCCCCCATGGTGTGGAACGTACATCTTCCCAGCTTCTTGTGCAGAACTGCTCGATGGTCTCCCTGACAGTGCCCAGTGACTGCCCCTCTGTCAGATTGAGGAACTTGAAGTTATAGTAAAAGGCAGAGAAGGCCTGAAAGGCAAGAGGTAGAAATGCCTTTGAACTTTGGTGGAGAAAGGCAGCAGCCCCCCATGTGCCTTGAGGCAGGAGTTTGTCCTTCACCAGGTTTGTCCCACCCTTGCACAGACCCAGGGCCTAGCTGTCCATGCCTGGCGGGTGCATGGCCAGCAGGTCAAGGAAGGCGATTCCCCCCCTTTGCTCTTGTGAGACCCCACCTGGAGAACTGTGTCCAATTCTGGAGCCCCAAACACAACAAGGACATAGACCTCTTGGAGGGAGTCCAGGGAAGGGCACAGAGAAGATGGGAGGGCTGGAGCAGCTCTGCTCTGGAGCCAGGCTGGGAGAGTTGGGGTGTTCAGCCTGGAGAAGAGAAGGCTCCAGGGAGACCTTAGAGCAGCTTCCAGTGCCTGAAGGGGCTCCAGGAAAGCTGGGGAAGGACTTGGGACAAGGGCAGGGAGTGTCATTTACAAGGAGTAAGTGGCTTTAAACTGTGAGAGGGGAGATTTAGGTTGAATATTAGGAGGAAATTCTTTGCTGTGAGGGTGGTGAGAGCCTGGCCCAGGCTGCCCAGGGAAGCTGTGGCTGCCCCATCCCTGGCAGTGTTGAAGGGCAGGTTGGATGGGGCTTGGAGCAGCCTGGGCTGGTGGGAGGTGCCCCTGCCCATGCAGGGGTGGGACTGGGTGATCTTTAAGATCCCTTCCAACCCAAACCATTCTGTGATGTGGGAGGACTGGATTTGCCTTACAATGAAGTGCCCGTGGATGGGGGGCTGGGAGACGCCGTCGAAGGTGCAGTCCTGGCTCTGGCCACATGCCGAGAAGTTGAACAGCTTCTTGATGGCAGCCAGGCAGCCGCTGGCATTTCCCCTGCCCTCCAGGGTCACTTCCCTGTCACTAAGGCCCAGGCGTGGGTCGCTGTGGTTGGTGCAGGGGCTGGTGCTGAAGGAAGACAGTGAGAGGGTTTCATTGTAGTTTCTTGGGTAGCAAGGGTGGTCGACTCGTGGGCTGGAGGCCGACTCCTGGGGACAGCAAAACAGCAGGTTCAGCCTCCTTCAAACCCTCGTGGTGGGCACACCAGGCACAGGGTTCACCCCATGCTCCTCCAAAGCCTTGGGCACCAGCATCTCCCACCAGCTCGGCAGGGAAAGACCCTCTGGCTGCTTAACCCTGGTCTTGCTGGCTCATCTGCAGTCCCAGCCTGAGCTCAACATCCATCCTCACTCTGCTTTGTCTCATTCCCTTTCCACAGTGGCAGACTGGACTCAAGGACCCAGCACATCTCTAGCCTGACCAGCAGGATCACGGTCTGGGGCACTCAAAGCCCTCTCCATCCCAGTTCTAGCTCTTTCTCTAGCTCCAGCCCCAGCCAGGAACAATCCCTGGGATCTTCTTGGCTGTGCAGTGTGAGCAAACCCTTCTGGATCAGCAAGGCTGCTTCTCCTGACAAGGTGCACTTCCATGAAGACCCTCTTCATAGAGTTGTTCTGGTTGAAAAAGACCTTCAAGATCATCTGTTGAGTCTGCTGCTAAAACATGTCCCTCAGCACCACATCTATAGGTCTTCTAAATACTGTCAGGGATAGTGATTCCACCACTGCCCTGGGCAGCCTGTGCTAGGGCCTGACAACCCTTACCATGAAGAAATTGTTCCTAATATCCAGTTCTAGTTATGAGGGTCCTGAACTGACCCCAGGATTCCAGGTGCCCCCTCACCAGTGCCCAGCACAGGGGGATGACCCCTGCCCTGCTCCTGCTGGCCACCCCAGTGCTGACACAAGCCAGGGTGCTGGTGGCCTTTCTGGCCACTTGGGCACACCCTGGCTCATATTCAGCCACTGTTGACCAACATCCTCAGGCCCTTCCTGAGCAGCTTGCCAGCCACTCATCCCCAGGTCTGAAGCACTGCATGGGGTTGTTGTGGCCCCGCCCCTCTGACCTTCATAAAAAAAGCTTGAGAAACATTTCTGGTCCACTTTTCTCAGGTCTGTACAGTCACAGAGTAGTTGAAGTTCGGGGGAGCTAGAGGGTCACTGTGCCAACTCCCTTCTTGAAGCAGGACCAACTAGATGCAGTAGCTCAGAGCCTGGCCCAGCAAGTCCTGTGTCCTATTCCAATACTTGACCATTCTCGTTGGGAAAAACTTTCTCCCTGCATCTGGTTGGGAAACTTGCATGTTCCAGGTTGTGCTTGTTGCCTCTTGTCCTGTCACTTCACGCCTCTGACAAGAGCCTGGTCCTGCCTACACCCTGGGCAAGATCCGTCCTGAGCTGCCTCTTCTGATGCTTCCTGTGTTCCTCTCCATGTCTGCCTACCTGTGCTCCAAGGAGTCTGTACATGCTGGTACCTCTTTGGAAGAGCATTGCCTGTCCTTAATTTATGCACTAACAGGTCTGTGGTTGGTAGCACGAGAGCAGAGACCAGTTACCCCCCAGTTACCCTCTCACCGCAATTAATTCCTTTGCCAGGCGCTTCAGCATCTCGTTCTGCCCGTAGCAGAGGTAGCTGTGGGTGTAGATGCTGTAGTTATACCCGTACAGTGTGAACTTGGAGGCTTCACTCCAGTTTCTGACAGAACTTTCAGGCATAAAGCTGATTTGAGTGGAGGCTCCTCCAAGATCCAGCGCCCCATGAACGTTGGCTGCCTCCGGGTGAACCCACGCACGTGCTCTGGGGGAGAACTGCCAGGGCAGGACAGGAGAGGAAGAAGAGGAGTCCGTGGCTGGACTCACCCACCCTGAGCAAAGTTCTCATTCCATTGAAGTCAATAGGATTTTGTTATTACATGAAATGGTTGCTCACTTAAATGATTCCTGCACCTGAGGTCCCACAGCCTTCCCTGTCCAACCAGCCTGGCCCTTGTCAGAGCCAGGGAAACAGAAACTGAGGTGTCCAAAGTGCTCTGAGACACCCGTCCCCAGACCAAAGGCCTGGTGGGGACCTGTCCTGGAGGGGCTGCCCACCCTGCAGAGGTGCCTCTGTGAGGGCAGGGGCAGAAACCCTGCCCAGGAGCCCAGCCCTGCCTGTGCTGCCCTGGGCTGTGGCAGGAGAGAGGTTTGAGTCCTTCCTTCAGGCTGACAAAATGAACCAAAACTGGGCTCTCCCAGTGCTACATGGAGATGGACCTTCCCAGAGCAGTGAGACAAAGCCCTGCAGGAGCAAATGGTGCCTACTGGGCTGCACAGTCAACCTTGCTGTCCCCAAGAGACACTGTGTCCACATGGAGTGGAGAGATGCCCTTAACAGGCACCTCCATCCCTGATTTCTCCCTCCCCATCACTGTGGGAAGCCAGAGGATAACTGGTTTTTCCCTGAGGACATTCCCAAAAGCTGCTGACCCAGACCTTCCCTGCTGTGCTGAGCAAGCTGCAGGAAAATCAGAACAACCGTATTTAGCAGAGTGGGTGATGCAACCTTCTCCCACCTTGGTGAAGGAGTCCAGCAGGTAGTTGGTGGTGATCCAGCCATAAGCCCCCTCCTCCTCTCCTGTGAGGATCTGAGCCCCTCTGAACACCACAGGGTACTCCTGCATGGTTTTAGCAACTTCAGCCAGGACTTGGTCTGCAGCTGAGCTGTTCTTCTGCCTGAGAAGGAGTCAAAGGTCAGGACACATACTCAGCCACATCAGTACCAGACAAAACCACAAGCAAACAGGCTGTTTTTTCCCCCAGTTCCACACAAGCTGATTTTTTGCAGCAAGCAGTTTGTGGGAAATGATGTTTCCTGCTGTAACTTGCTGAAGCTGCTCATAGAGCTTAAATCCCAAAGCTCCAGACTTGGAATTGCAAATCCAGGAGCAACTGCAGCCTCTTCCCTCCAGTGCAGCTTGGTCCCAGGCCCACAGAGGTTCGTGAGGCCACCCTTCCCTATCTAAGCATCTTCATAGTGCTGGAGGCCAGAAGGGATTATGCTGCAAAACCCAGGTTTGAACATCCCCCACCGACTGCTCCAACACCAGGACTGGCTGCTGAGCTCCAGGGGGGCTTTCCAGAAGGTTCCAGCCTGGTTTCAGAGCTCTGAGAGGGGGGAAGATGTCTTGGGGTCCCCTGCATGTGCTCGCTCTCTGAGTAACCTTCAGGCTCCTTCCCAGGGAAGGGGTCTGGTTGCCAGGGCACAGAAATGAGGTTAAATTATCTGCAACGATAAAACCTAGAGCCATGAAATGAAGGCTGACATTTGAAGAGAGCTGATAAGGGCTGCTGAAAGGTGAGGCCAGGTCCTGTAGCATCCTGTTGCCTTCTACTTCTGCCCCACTCCCCTGCCAGCACCTGGGCAGATGGCGCATCCCCTGGTGGCATCTCAGCTCCCTTGTGGTTAATCATAGAATTGTCACAGAATGATATAACGGTTTGGGTTGGAAGGGACCTTAAAGATCATCCAGTTCCAACCCTCCTGCATGGACAGGGACACCTCCCACTAGATCAGGTTGCTCAAGGCCCCATCCAACCTGGTCTTCAAGAGCTCCAGGAAAGGGGAATCCACAACCTCCCTGGGCAGCCTGTTCCAGCATCTAACACCCTCACAGGAAAGAACTTTTTCCTAATGTCCCACCTAAAGGGATAATGAAGAGCAAAGAAAGATCTTTCAGAAATATTTCCTGCTTGGAACTGGGCATGCAGCACCCTCCTGGGAGGTGGGATCCCAGGGCACCACCAGACACCTCTGAGCAGCCTCTCTGCCCCTGGGCCCACCGCTCAGGACAGCTCAGCCACCCGTCTGTCCCCAGGGGCTGCCTCCTCCCACTGCCAGGTTCATGGCAACACGGGAGCTGGGAGCTCCTGGCAGCCTGGCCTGCTGCAAGACACTGTCCTAGCAGTGGCTGCTGGCACCCTTGTGGGTGCCTCCTCACCCCCGCC